TTTTTAATAATATATATATATTCTTAGAAAGCAAGCTACACTTATGAATTGGATACTATATTTAATCATTCACTCTTACATAATTGAAAATGATGCATGTATACTCACTGATTATTTTAAGTTCTCATAAAAAGAAGATGATTGTGTGAAATGAATTACTTTAAGAGTAAATGTTCAATGATTAAAAAACCCGTGAAATTGAATCTAACTTGATAATAAACGTGATGACATCAGCTTTCCTATTGTCAGTTCCCCATATTTGCGTTCCACCTTTATATATGATTTATGTTTCTTGATTAAGTCGATACTTGTATTTAAAGAAGAGCATATTCTTTGAAGAATTTCTACAACGAAGCAAGCCATTGAAAACAAGTTGATGAAGCAAGAATATCAAGAGTATGTCTTAAATAAAGTCACCATTTTGCAAGTTCTCTGGTCGAAACAATGACCTTATCGGTAAGTACAGATGATCTCATTTGCTTATTAGGTCGCTTGTTCAACCATAGAACTTGCTAAATTAAATGAATTCGTGACTTAAGTTTTTCATACTATAAGTGAGCAGATTATTTACACATTGAAATCTCTACGGTTTATTTAATGTTTGCAACACAAGGGGTGTTGAAGGACGACAAGAGATGCTCACTTCTCCATGGCACCTGATCCAATCCTGATGTTTTAGGGGATTTTACTTATTGAATTTTTTCCCACCGATTTGCAATTGTTTTTATTCACTGTTTTCGGGACTTGTGTTAAATAAACTTATCAACATCATGGCTTCAAAATGCTAATGTAGTGCAGCAAAAGGAATTAACATTGAATTATTTCTCCCAGGACATCTGACAACAAATGATAAGTCACATCAAATGAATGTACAATCTGTATACATTACTGTGCTGTATATTAGGGATAAATAAGAATGAGGAAATGCTATCTTTAGTTACGACAAACTCATTTGAAGAGGTACATGTGTTATTCAGGTGAAACTTCTTGCCAATGAGCATCTTGCCTTCCGATTAGATTTATTTATAGTTACATAACCCAATTTCTAAATCCTTGAAGTCTCATCTGGTTATTGAATGTTTTGTAATTCACATTGCGATCATTTATTTCTTCCATTAAGTTCCAATCGATTTGCTTCATATAAATTCATTTTTGTTCACTGGAGCTCCAATGTTTCATTTAATGAATTAGTTACGACTTGCTAGGAGGGGTTCCTTCGATACACAATGAGATTGCGTGCAATCTTAAAGGAACATAACCCTGATGCTGTGGCCATGTTGCATGAAAACGCAAACCCATTGAAATTACCTCATCGATAACCACATCAAATGATATTGAATTATCCAGAACTCTGTACATGTTCTGGTCTGTAAATGTGAATACTTTGACATTTATCATCTGAAATGAAATTAAACGCCATGAATTGAGTGTATTCTAAAAGCATGTTGCTGAATAATTATGACCTTTTCTCCATTTTCGAACATTTTTTCAATTAATTATATAAAATGTATTCACTAAAAGTACATATTTGCCTGCAAAGATTTTTCCTGATTTCTCACTTTTTCAGAAAAAAGACAGAAAAAATGAAAAATAATCAAATATAAATAAGGTATTATAGAGTACAAATAAGAAATTATAGAATACAAATAAGAAATTATATAATGCAAATGGAAAATATATACAAATAAAAATTAAACAATGCAGATGGAAAATATAGAATACCAGTAAAAGTTATACAATGCAAATAGAAAATATAGAATACGAATAAAAATTATACAATACAAATGATTTTTTACAATACAAATAGAAAATAGGGAATTATAGAATACAGATAGAAAAAACACAAACCCAATGAAAAATCATACAATTCAAATGAAAAAAATCATACGATACAAATGGAAAATCATACAATTCAAATGGAAAATCATACAATACAATTGAAAATTATAGAAAAAATGCATAATCCAAAATGGAAAATTATACAATACAAATTTAAAATTATACAATATAAATGGAAAATTATTGAATATGAATAAAACTTTTACAATACAAAAAGAAAATTATACAATAGAAATTGAAAAGGTCATTTATTGCAATGTTTGAAATGCCATACGTATTCAGTATGTATATGTATAATATTATAAAAAAAAATTTTTATTCCATAGAATTTAGACTTCTTCCCAAGTGTACAGTCTGGAATCATTCATGATTACTCACAAGCAATTTAATATTGTAAATCGAAGATCGATTACAATTCAGGGATGCTGGTTATTGAACAACTGTTAATTTTCAAGCTTTGTTTTAGCTTACCTATAAAATTAATTTATTAAATAGTATGAATGGTCGTCTAGAAAATTTAGTTTTTAAACCATTCTGATTCTTCGTTGAGGTACTATATTTTTTTTAAATGCTGGAGTTGAGGTGTCTATTTTGGAATATCATCTTCGGAATATGTATGTACAATCAGATTGTTTTCTTTTTTCAAAATAGTTTTAAAGCCACTAATGAAAAGGTAAGTGAATTTAAGATTTCCATTTTAGTGGAAAACATAGTTGTTGAAGATGTCTCAATATCCCAATACCCGGACTTATATTTATTAGATTTTATCTTGGGAATGGTTGCATATAATTGAATAATAAAATGTTATTAGTTTTGGCACAATTTTGTGAGTTAAAATTTTCCTAGAGATCCTTAGATTTTTTAAGTAATAGTACACTACTTTTAGTGTATTTTTTTCTTAACTCGATATCTATATTTGTCTGTAGTAATTTAATGTAGTTTAATCGAGTTCAGATCTTTTTATTCACATTTAATTTGATTGATGGGAATATTGAAAATATTTAAAACAGTCATAAGAGTTTGAAGACTTTTCTCCGTAGAAAGGTAGCTGTGTGTATGATTTTGATTATCAATTTCAAAATTATATTTCAGATCCTCTAATATAAAAAGTTTAAAATAATGAACCTCACAAAGTTAATATTGTTAAATGCTTTTACAACTGGGTCCAGTAGACATTGATCGTTTAATTCATCATTCTACTTTAAATTTCATTGCTGAATTATTGGAGACAGAGGAATATTTGGTTTTCATTCTCCTCAAATCACATACATTGTACTATCATGTCAAGGATTTTTTTTCATGACAAATGCTGACTGACGTGTTTCATACTATTTGTTAGTCCATTATTTATACTCTGAATTGACGACAGATTTTTAGCCGGGCTTATGACAGGATGTCAACCCCATATATAGTCGCCATTTTAAAGTTACGTGTAAAAATATAGTTCTTACTCTCAACCGCTTCTGAGATAATACAAACGCTAAATAAAGCAACATAAATAAAACGAAGTTTTATCTAAATAAATAAACATTATTAGTAATGACTTCGAAAAATTCAGTCTTAAGTCAAAGAACATAGTTTATTAGCGTAAGGATTTCTGATAATCAGTGTTTTTGTAGTTCTCTACACTAACGAGGAAAAACAGGAGAGGGCTCGAACCAGACTGGCCTGTTTGTTTACATTCAGCCGTAGTACCAGATAAATTTTGATTCTGACAAAATCGGACCGTGGTATTTGAATCGAAAACTCACTGTCAGTGTCTTATAATTTTTATTGCTAGTTTTAAAATAATTTTTTCATCAGAATTTTTAATCTGATATTCTTGTTATTTATCTGTTAATACAATATAAACGTATGATCATGTAAGAAATTCATTTTACTCTGTAAATGAGCCCGGCTCTCTGTACTTTTGAGTAATTCGATTCCGTTATTTTCCGATCATGACAAGGAGCACACGGCGGGTGTGACCGGTATGCAGGGGATGCTCACTCCTCCATGGCACCTGATCCCACCTCTGGTGTTTTGGAGGTCAGTGTTTGTTATGCTACTAATTTGTATTGTTTTATGGACTTTTGATCTTGAATACTGTTCTTTATCTCCATATATTTCAGGTTAGAAAATCAAATGTCAAGTAGAGGTTCTGTCCTTTTTCTTTTCAATGAAAAAACTTGGAAACAAAAGCCGATTATTTAATTAATTAATTAAATTATTAATTTTTCTGAATTAATTATTAATTAATGGAATACATGGTGTGGACACCAGTGTGAAATATGGTTGCAAATTATGAGACTGGACCTTTTTTTTAAATTAAGAATACTAGTATTAGTTATATTTACCGTGTCAATTAGATTCTGCTGACGAAACAAAATATAATAATTTTTTATATTCTGTATATAAAATATGCATTTTAATCGTTACATAATTACTCAAATTAATCATTTTAAGAGGAATGTTGATGGGTGTTGGGGGTTGTGTTGCATTATGATCAGCAGAAACCTTTCTACAACTAAAGAGGGCTTCATTATTCTCGGCAACGATCCCAGTTGTCATAGTATAATCTGATAATATTGGTTCTAATAGGTAGCCTTCACACTGCTCATGAAATCCATCTTTTTCATTTACACCTTTGAAAGGTAATCAATAACTATATGTATAGGATGATGTAATTAACAGACATACAAGTCGTCAGATTTCATGCTACAACCAAGCCATTATACGCTCAATAAAGAGGATTTTATGCAAAGGATAATTAAATCGTAGGTGTACTGAAATACATATTGTATAATTATTTGGTTTCTTATATGCCTCATTGTCTCTTATTCTGAGAACTGCTATTTCTGTTTGCCGTTGACCTTTCTTCTTTTTTTGTTCTTAATCTTAAGTGCAATTTGGAACAAATATCAATAATCAATGATTCAATAAAAAAAATTAAAAAAAAATTTTTGGACAGAAATTCTTTCATTGTGTTTGTTGAGTGATTGAAAACTAATTGAAACAAAATCAGATAAATGAACTGACCACAGATGGCAGAGCAGTTGTTTGAGAAATAAAGCGTGTAGAGACTAGTGGTTTTTGCGATGTTACAATCAACTGGTGTATAATGATCTCCTTTAGCTCCAACTAGTAAGAGCTGATAATAACGTGGTGCGGACATTAAACCTGGCATTCTGCGATCGACCCATCGACTAGCAAAGCCTAGAAACCAAGAAAGGTCTGTCAAACGATTGATGCTGTGAATGAATTGGATTTAACAGAAGTGTGAATGCTCGTAAACCCTGACCGTCAACACACGTGAGTGGACATATGTATCAATGCATTTAATACAGCATCAAGCGGTTATGGAAATAAATTTGAAAAACAATTAAAATTCATAGAATGGAACACTTTCATAGTAAATGCAAATTTTGATTTATACTGTTAAGAATTTAATTTCATTAAAAGAATTACTTAATATCATTTTTACAGGTGTATATTTGTTCTTTGGGGGGCAAAGGCCTTCGGTGCGTGGTAATACGAATGGAAGAGGTGCCAATGTAGCGAAGTCATCGCTACCGATCCGCACAAAGACTTGTCATTGATTCAATGCCCACTCGCTAACGACAGCTTCTATAGGCGGTCTTCACAGGGGCTGCTCTTAGCCGACCAAGCCGACTTCATGTCGACAGGAGTCTTCAGATTTTATATCACGTAGAGCAAGATACGACTCACCTGGATGCTGAAGAAAGAGTTATCAATTGGCATTTCCTTTCGGTCTCCCCACGTCATGTACTTGTGTACGTGATAATGAATTCTCTCGAGATTTGATATTCGAGATTTTGAGCTTTGTGGTGGAGGAAATGATTCCCAGGATTTATTCAGGTAAACAAAGGTAAGAAACAGTCTGAAGAGGGGTTTATTTTTTACCATGTTGACTTCTTACGTGTTAGTAATTAGGCACTCTTTTGGAGTAATCTGAATTATGATATCAGATTCTCTGATTGTTAAATTCCATTCAGTGATTGATACAACATCATTGTATTTTTTAAAAATCTTTTTATTTTATCTTTTTCTCTCTATTTTGTTTGTTTGTAAATTTTGTTAATAACATTGAGAATACATTATTCGGAAGAGCTGTTGGAAGCTGGTTTATTTGTAAATCTCTCTGCATCATTTAAACGCATTTGCTTCGGTCCATTTCCCCAATGTAAAGCTCTGACAAATTACGAATAATGTCCGCAGCGAAGGACGACTGATGTTCGCCTTCCGGGGACAAAATCTCTATTACAACAGCGCGTGAGAGATGTACACCACTTCGATCGGCTTCTGCTTAATCAACTGCTGCGAAATTTAATAGCTCCACAGAAATGTTCCATTCATAATCTGTCACATATAAAGTGGATTAAAATCATGTCAAATCCATTAATATATTCTCACGTTAATGTTAAAAATCTATCATGCATATTATGTATAGCTATATTAAGTAGACCAATATAAAACTGAAATTCAAAACAATGTTTGATATCAATAGTTATTTCTAGAAGGAAAATAAGTTAAGGTTGTCAAATTTTTTTTTTGTATATTGATCTTAAGTCCATCACTTTTTTAATAAAAGAAAATTATTTTTTATACAATTTGGGGGATCTTATCTGGAAGAAAGAAAAACAGGGCCATAAGGTCAACATAGTTTTGTTATAAGATCAGGGGAGACCACTCCCACCTTGACTGATTTACAATTAGAATGACTTTCCCAATACACAAAGCCTTGTGTGTGCAAGAGAGCTGTAAAAGCCTGGATGATGTTCCAGGGTCTAACCTAATTCTTGTCAATCATGAACAGAAGCCATTGATATTAAGGGGGGACCTATGTCCGAAAAGTCTTTGTGTGAAATTTTCAAAACTTTGACATCTCTTTCCTGACCACTTCCTTTTATTTTTAAGGTATTAAAAACAATACCTTTATATGCTTATTTTTACACAGGAGCACGTGGAAAAACAGTGTGAAATGCTAAAAATAGATTATTTTCAGACATTATTGTTCTACTCCAAATATGCGCTAAAAAGAATCAAAAATGTCAAATCACATTCGAAATCAACATGTATTTAATTTATATGACTTGTATCTTTAAAATGAAGGCAAAATCATTGCAATTCATCTTGCATGAAAAATTATCAAGAAGCACAATGTAAGTATCACCCCGTTTTTCTTGTCGTATTTTTTACAATTCCGACATGCGTAACAGGTAATATCTTAAAAAGTCTTTGTGTGAAAATGTTGTAATTCATATTTTTTGAAAGACATGACCCCTCTCAATATTCTAACAAAGAAAAAAGTATACCTTTATGATAAAATAAACGAGAAATATGACGTTTTCTTTTATTTTTGTACTCTTCTGTAATGAATATTGACCTTTCTGCACTAAAAAAAAGTAAGTTAGCACTGACAAACATCTGAATATTAAACTATTTTGCAAAAACGATTATTTTGTTTTGATAATAAATAATTTAAATAGATAAACTTTTTTCTTCTTCATTCTAATCATTCTGCCCCCCCCCCTTTTTTCCCATCAACAACCAACACCTAATAGAACCTAGGAATGACTTTATACAATAAAATCTACATACACTATAAATCAGTAATTAAATATAGGTACAAGTACATTTCTTAATTTTTCTTAGTTTTATGCAGAAAATACAATTAATGGTAATAAAAAAATTAAACATATTTCCCTGATGCCGCTGTCTTTGCTAAATTTTATCTTATATTTTTTGCATTTTTATATCAGCATATCACGGAGGTATTTCTTCACAACTGAAATTGCTATGAATTATCAACCAAAGGAATGGAATTCTAATATTAACAATCTTCATAAATCAAATAAAACTGTCATAAATACATGAAAAAATTTCTTTTTGTAAACTGTGTACGTTACTGATTAATAACAATGTTATGCCTATAATCACAGTTGCAAAAGTCAGCGGTAAAAAAAACGTCGCTATTGTGACGTCAAATAACGCTGCTTTGACGTAAAACGACATAGGTCCCCCCTTAAATCGACCTTTTTCGGATTACTTCCGTTTTAGAACTTTTCCGGAAATGAAGGTTGAGTGTGATCAAGGTATATATTTTTGGTCTGAAAAGTTGATATTCAATAATGGGAACCTATTTGTAATCAAATAGAACTGATAAAAAAGCATCCTTTTTCGATAAAAATGAACTGAGACCCGAATTAAATTTTTTCTAGGTTCTTAATGTAATAGTATATGATAAGTATATCAAGTATAAGGGGAAAAATACTCAAAAATTAAGATTGAATTATTTTATCTCATTTAACATTAAATGTTTTAAAGCTGACAGTTTGGCATATGGTCCTCTGTTGAATATTTCTGACAAGAATACATGTTTTTTTTTCCAACATACCTCTTTGAATATGCTTCATTTTTATATACATGCATGTATATACCTATATGTAATTAAAAAAGGTTTGCTCAAACGGCTATTAACCTATTTCTATCACATATTATTTTCTCTGGTGTTCGTTCATCTTATACTTGTTGTCCACTTTTCTTGTTTTTCAAGACCCCAAAAATGTTTTCATTTAACAAAATTCAAATTTGTCTTTTTTATCTTCCACAGACTCAGGGTATAACATTTTTACGCACCTGCATGTAGTATCCGGGTTGAGAGGGGCAGCCCCTACTTACTTGTTTTTAACAAAACCCGTCCCCAATTCTTGCATTTGGTTACACAGATATGCACACAAGAGAAAATTAAAAGAAACATGCAGTTTTGTCGAAAGTAATTTCCCATCACCCATGCCCAATTAATCATTATGTTACGTTATTTAATGCACAATTTTCATTATCAAATTATAATGTTGCCCTTTCTATAGCTTTGAAAAGAATGAATGGAAAAGCCATACCAATAACGACATCTTATAAAATAAAATAACGATTATATCTACGGCGGTGCACTACCCTTCGTTATCGATGTCAATGTTCCTTTCATGTTGTTCAAAAACAATAATAAAGTCATGGGTTTATCAAGTAAAAGAATAACGCACATCAAATAAATCAAACGATTGTTGGTACATAGAAACTGTGATCACTTTATATCCAATCCTTTATTCTGGAGTTTGTGATCATGTCAATTACGTGAAGGAAACGGACTCGTTGGACAGGAAGGACTGGCGCCATTTTACGGTCTATTTATAGCCAGATCTAGAATTCATAAACAGAGAGTTCGTGGTTTCCAAAGAACATAAACAGGATACGACATACGACATGTTAATAATAGCGTCATAAAAATGATTGTTTACTTTGATTTAGAGTAACAAAAGCTTAGTGATTCCATAAAACGAAGATTTTATCAAAAAGGTAACAAAACAGTCATTGTTGAACAATTTTGCAATTACATTGCAATGTACCATGTGAATTATTTTAGGTAAAAAAAATGAATTAAAGTCTTTCATAGAATTTCCTTCTATTGTAGGCCTTCGTCTAATTTTTTCCAATATTTTCTGTATATACTGTATAAATTGGTTCTAATTTGATGCTACAAAGGAGTACATGCAGTACATTGGGAATCAGTTCTCTGTAATTTTGTGACAACACAATTTTTATAGCTGGCCGAAAAGCTGTTATTTATAAGAAGTGAAAAGAAAGAAATGAATTCAAAAGATTGAACCAGTAGCTCGAAGAATATATCATCTCTTATTAATTATAAAAGATTCATTTCTTCAGAAAGTTGATAAGTACCATAATATGTTTACAGATATTTCCCTATTCTAAAAAAAAATCTATGAAATCGGGATGGTGTATCGATGCAAATAATAATCAAATATCATTATACTGAAAGCCCTCAGTAAATTACCGGGTATTTGCCAGTATACAGTAAACAAGCGTTCTACGATTGTGTTACAGGAAGTAGACGATGACAACCGCCGTCGTTCTCGGCGTCGTCCTGGGTCTGGCTGGTGTTGTAGCGGGCGTGGTCTGTTTTGTATTGTGTAGAGTGTACCGGAACAGGAAACACAGGCAAAATATTACGTCATTCAACGGATATGACGCTGTTGGAGACTACAAACCACCATCTCTGATGTCCATTTCTACCGCCTCCCAGGTAATTGAACACGCTATAAGATTTAGTTACTTATGTCATATAGCAACAGAACACAACAGAAACAGGTTGACGATCCCTAAAGCTTCACAAAAACCCAATTCCTTTAATAATCAGCTTCCTCAGATTCTCTAGGAGTAAGTTACTTTGAGATGGCAGAACGTCTATCACCTGTAAGGTTATTTGAATGAATACAGTGGTTTTGTTTGATAATTGGTTCTGAAAGACGAACAAATACTTATGATTCTTAAAGCATCACAATTTAATGATGACCTTAAGTCTAGCTAATATACAATGATTAAAGTGTCAAAGGTAAGTTATTCTCTTGAAGCATCTTGGATCTTCATATAAATTATATTCTCTATAGGTAAAAAAATTCCAACCTTGGTACTAATTAGCTTAATAAGCTAAAAATCTTGCATAAAAATTTTACAACTTAGAATGGAAATTCTTCCTGATTGCTTTGTTTCGTAGCAAGTTGCAGAAGATGATGGTTCCTTAGTCCTATCTACAGTTTAAGTGTTAATGGGTGCTGAAATATGACTGCTCTATCAATTTATATCTCGAACATGCGAGATTAAGAAGGTTGATGAAATATTTCAAGAGCTGAAATATTCCGAAAGATACCCACTAAAATCAGTATCGTCATAAAGGAGTATTGAATACAGAAAGGTGACAACTCTCTGGAGCTAGGGGGACCCGAATACATTGCTAGCATCAAACTCTGAAAAGACCTTGGTCTTGCTCAATTTTGGAGCAATGTCATATACATTTTGCAACAGGCAAAGCGACTTTAGGGATGATTCTGCATTCACCGCCCGCTTTTTCTCTCCAAACCAAACAATCATTTCGCCACGAATAAATTAAATTCCATCAGGATTTTGAATTCCAAAGTCAGCTGTTGTTTTTTTTATCGAAATGTGGAACCATTGAATTTAAATACCTTGTCTGTGTTTATTGGCAAATTATTTTGTTTAAATACATTCTGATTGTACAGTTACGTACCCGAAGTTAATTTTCAAAGGTTGCTTGGATATCTTTGCTGTCTTTGGAGGCCAAATTATACTGACTTTAATATCTGAAAACGTTCACAAAAATACCTCATTCAAATACTTCCACATGAAAATCAGGTGTCTTGCTTTGACCTCCAGCTCTATATTTTGATATATCGACGACGTTTTATCAATTTTCCATATTCCTTTTCATTCCAACATTAATTCAATTAATATTTCTGTTTTAACTCGAAATAAAAGAAACTGCAGAGTCTCACACATTTGTTTCATGTAATGTATAATTTACTTGGAAAATCGTCTCCTGCGTGGCGCAGTGCTTATAGAGTCTGTTCTGGAGTGGCAAAGTAGATCCTCACTATGGGACGAAGAGACCGGTCCTTCGGATGAGACCGTATGAACCGAGGTCCCGTGTCGAAGTAGGCACTGGCAGGAAAAGATTTCTCCCTGCTCAATGGCCATTTGTTCCGAGTAAAGGACAAAATTTGCAGCTCTCCACCGGCAAGTGGTGGCGTCTCCACATGTGTGAAAAATTCTCAAGAGTGACCTTACACAACATACAAACAAACAGCTTGTAATATGACAACACACTTTTTACATAAATCTGAATATAAATAAACTCCCTTTGTTTATTTTATATAATATTTCTATGTATTACATGTATATAACATTTCTTAAGTGCATATGGAGTTCATTGCGCCCACTTTACTTATGAACAAGAATATTTTCTACGTACGAATTTTCCAAAAAAAAAAAAGAAAAAGGAAAAAAACCAGGAAATCTATTTACAAACAAATTGATAATACAACTATTTCAAAAAGCTCTCGTATTAATTCAACATTTCACAAATTATCTAGCTGAAACTCAATATTTGGGAAAAAATTGCCAAATATTTATCTTGAAAACTTGAAACCAATATTCGGTTGCCTATTAAAAGAACAATGTTTTTTTTTATCGACGAGGTATTGTCAATTACTATTTCCATTCTTATGATATATCCCGGTGAAGTGGAAATAAAAGATACCACAGAGTCTGACACATATGTTTCATATTGTGGTATTTTACTAGAAAAAGACGTCAATGGTTATCTAACAACAAAGCTAATGATAAACGTGATGACTTTAACTTCCAATCGTCAACTTCCCTTACTTACGCAACACCCTTGTCACCTGCATATTGAGTTTATATCTCTCAGTTGATTCGAAACACAGAGCATGTTCTACGTATGACCAATTTCTAAAACGGGGTAATTGACAAACAATTTTATGAAACAAGAATATCAGCAGTTTTCGTTTAAAGTTATTATTTCGTAAGTTTTATGGTCGATACAAAGACCTTGTCAGCAAACACAATCCAAGAGTATACGCCAAATGCTGACTGACTTTTTCATAAACTGATTGTTAGGCCATTATTTACACACTGAATTGTTTACGGACATTTCCGTTTTTTTCCTGAACATGGCAAGGAGCACATGGCGAGTGTGACCGGTTGGTAGGGGATGCTCACTCTATGGCACCTAATCCAACCTCTGATGTTTTAGAGGTCCGTGTTTCTTCTGCTTATGTTTTGTAATGTTTTATAGATTTTTGAGCTCAGAAACTTCATTATCTCCAATTATTTCATTTTAACTCAAAGATCTCAGTCACCATTCTCTTTGTTTCTTGTTGTATGATTTCCATAAACAACAGTATGTTTTATTTAAAACTAATTGGTATAATAATTTGTTTACAGACATATTGCGATAATTTACTGCATAATACGTAGTTGTTTTCTAAATTAGAATTAAATTATATTTTATTCTGGAAAGTCAAGATAGGAGGGACAAATGCATAGAACAATCAAAATCTCTCTTTTTATCGCTTCAAAATCAAAAACCCTCTGCTCATTCAAAAAAAAAATGTTGCTGTATCTCATGATCTTCAAAAGAATGTATTATATAAGTAAATAAAAGCTATTGTAGAATAACTAGCTGATCAAATTCGGTCAAAAGTGGCTCAGCTTTGAAAACTATAGGCAATTATATATGTCATTAAGAGTTATCTCTTGCTAGAGAATCAATGGACCTTAAAGTTCTATGATTTACAACAGGTATGTTACAGAAAGAAAGAGGGGCTTATAGAATAATCTGCAGAAGATGATCACTTCTCAATGGCACCTGATCCAACCTCTAACGTTTTAGAGGTCCGGCTCTGCGTCAAAATTTGTATTGTTTGATGGATTTTTGAGCTTGATGGAAGGATATGGAGATATCGAACAGTATTCAATATTAAAGTCCATAAAACAATACAAAATGGGAGCAGAGAAAACACGGATCTCCAACATCAGAGGTGGGATCAGGTGCAATAGAGGAGAGAGCATCCCCTGCTAACAGGTCACACCCGCCGTGTGCCACTTGTCATGATCGGGAAACAACGGAAAAATCCGTCGTCAATTCAGTGTATAAATGGACTAACAATTGATATGAAAAAGTCAGTCAGCATTTGACTCAATGATAAACTGTATTGGTTGACAATGTCTTTGTATCGACCAAAAGAACTTACGAAATGATGTCTTTAAACGAGAGTGCTGATATTCTTGTTTCATCAACTTGTTTGTCAATAATTTACCTCTTTTTAGATATTGTTCATACGTAGAGCATGCTCTTGCGTATCGAATCAACTGAGATATATAAACGCCGTATACAGGTGATGAAGGTATATTGCTGCATAAGTACATTGTAAGGGAAGTTGACGATAGAAAAGTAAAATTCATCACGTTTGTCATAGAGCTTGGTTGTTAGATTACCATTATCGTCTTTTTCAAGTAAAATATCCAACTATGAAACAGATGTGTAAGACTCTGTGGTATCTTTTATCTCAAGCTCACCAGGATATATCGTATCTTCATAGGAATGGAAATTGCCATTGTTAATTGACAATACGTCGTCGATATATCAAAATAATGAGTTGAAGGCCACAGACAGTGTTTTCACATTCTGCTTCATATGAATATAAAAGCAGACCTGCTAATAACAGAGCGCAATTTGTACCCACTGGAATTCCAATAGATTGTTGGAAGAACTGGTCTCCAAAAACCACATAGATATTGTCAATCAGAAACTCAGGTATCTTTTTTGATGTCAACTTCAGAGTATTTGAATACTGTTCGTTATTTCCATATATTACACTTAACTTCCACAAAATCAAACAATTAATTTGCATCTTTGTCTTGTTCGGATTTAAACATGTTAATTTTTTATTAATTAATTTTTGTCTGCAAATATCAAGATCAACGAGTGTAAGCTACATCTAGTGTAGAACGAAACAAGTGGTTAATAAGAAACTTGTACTTAAACTTAAAAGGCCTTATGTGTTTTCCAAATTCTTTTATACCACCAAAACATAACACCACAACCCATTGTTTATCACGTTTTGACTAGTATTATGATGGATAAAAAATAAAACTGTATTCAGAATAAGATAACTTGACAGGTAATCACACCAGAGTCATGTTCCCAGCCAACTCTTTCCAATTCATTATCCTCACACTAAAATATGAATGAAGTGGAGATTTTAAAGGCTGTGCACGAGAATTTAGTTTTTTTTAGAAATAAATGGGAATTTTAAAAAGGGTAATTTTTATAGCATGTTCTGAGTTACAGTTAAGGTCATACGCAACGTAGTTTGAACTTTATTGGGTTCTTCCCTGGAGTTGAAGAGTTCCACTAAATGAAGGACCTGTGTGCAATATTTTTTATGTCTGTATATGGATCTGTACACCTCTTCTAAAACAATTTTTGATGAAAAAAAATCTGGAATTTATGTTTTGTAATTTTTGTACATTTTTCTTTGATTAATGAAATTTTTTTCAAAACTTGATATCTTTTCAAAACCCCTGGTAACACATGCTGATTTTTTGTCTAAGAACATGTAATGGTATCATAAGTTTAAATTAAGAATATCTTGAAAAATTATCAGTAGGTAAGGTACCTTGCGTATGTCCTTAATTGGATAAAAAACACATACATGTATTCCTACAATAATGACAAAAATTTTGTTTCTCCCTAACGTTTTTGTTAGAACAAAAGAAGGAAATATATTCTATACTAAGCATTAGAGGGGTATATAACATCAAACTTTTCTTTTGTACTTTTAAATTTATCAATACATCTATGAAATTTTAGTCATGAAAATTGAGATGAATGAATTGAACTTACATGAATATTATTATGAATATTATTAAAATTCACAATGACATCTCATCACGTCAAACATCTGTGTTTTGTAATTTGTTAATTTGCTTAAACTGCATACATCACCGAGCACGGACAATTAAATTTGATGAGTTGCCTAGCTTTCCAGACTTTCCAGACTTTTTATTCTGAAGTTTCAGGATTAAAATTGTTATATCATTTCTTTAGTTCTACTTCCCTAAACTGTTTCGGATAAATTTTACTTCGTGAAAGTGCAAGAATATATGTCCCGAAATCCATAGTTTTGATAACTTCCTTATTAAAGAGCTTTTAAAGCAGACCTTTATAATATTTTATTAAATATCTTAAAATGCATTTTTAACAGTGTCTACACGCCTTTAATAAGATAAAATCTACTTCAATCACAAATATTTCAGTATTAAAATGGTATCCCACCTATGTAAGTCACGAGAAGCATTAAAAATCAAACATGTGGTTACTACAACACGTGTGATAATACGAATTTGATCACTGTTAGTGTTTAACACAGTTTTGTTAGAGTCACGAAAAAAAATAGGAAACTGTGAGTTATAGGATTGGGTTTAAAATATTTATCACTTTAAGGATTACCACCAGCTAGGCATACTACTATTAGTACTCTTTTTCAATGCATTAGTATCTGAATGCGCAAGTTTAATCGGATAACACTAGGTAAAAGTAAACGTAAACACAACAAAATTAGATAATTAGTTTAACGTAACATAAACTCTATGATATATTAAAAATTGAGTTATGAATTTTTCTACTAAAACAAAACAACTAAGAAAATAATTTTGGTTGTTCTGTGTTTGTTGCAATGGAAGGGGTTGGGGGTGGAGGTTACAACAACAAATTGAATAGCAGTGTTCTCTTTGTTAAAATACCAAGCACGCTTCTGCCTATTTGTTTGTTTGAGTGCCCTTATTTCCTCAAATCAATTGACAGAAGGAGAGAATCAGTAATATTGAAGTATGAAAATGTATTTGGTTGTTTTATGCATGAAGGATATGGAAATAACGGACAGTATTCAATATCAAAGTCCATAAAACAATGCAAAATAGGAGCAGAGCAGACACAGACCTCCAAAACATCAGAGGTGGGATCAGATGCCATAGAGGAGTGAGGATTCCCTGCTGACCGGTCACACCCGCCGTGTGCTCCTTGTCATGATCGGGAAATAACTAAAAAATCCTTCGTCAATTCATCGTATAAATAATGGACTAACAATTAGTATGAAAAACGTCAGTCAGCATTTTATTCTTATTTAAAAATTTTGGTCATGAAAATGTAGTTTAAATAATTGAACTTATACATTAAGAGTTGCATTTGTATTACATTCAATGTGATTTTTGTATTGATGAAAAACCCCAGTCTAGGACATACAATTTTCGAAACCTATAATCATCTACAACTTCTTTTCTACAATTCTTAGATGAAGGATGAGGGAACAAAAGAATTTTTTTAATTTAATAACTGAAGACCCCTTCTTCCTCGGCATCAACTCACAACTCACCAATTTTATTTTGTAAATGATTTTAGGCAAAGGATCCATCGTTCAAAATTTATTGACGGAATTGTTGTGTAAATTATTTTGCATATTTTTTGCATAAATCCTGCATCAAGGGTATGTAAGTCAGATGGATAGCTAAGGAGCACAATTAATGTCTATCAATATTTCAACATTTTTAAAGAAGTCATGGCCTCCAAAGACTCTGTGGATGTTGTAAATTAGGAACTGCACAAATCTTTTTAAGAGTAAACTTCAGAGTATAACTGGGAAGAATAATTTTCAGAGTACTGAATTGCGATTCTGTAGACATTCATCCTTTTAACATTATTCACTGAAAAGTGTCAACAAACAGATTATGAATCGTGTAACATTTTTTTTTTTACAGAATACAATATATAGCTCAAGGATTGGATTTAGATCCGTTTTTTGGTGTTGGCTGGTCTGAATTCTTTCACACCCGACACTTCTGTTTATCTTTAGTGTCTCATTTTGTCTCATTTTGCCGGTGTTTGGTAAGAAATCCTGATCCTGTTGACATTTCATGTTTGGATACAAGCTTACATTTGATATATCATGCCTCTCTACACGTATACCATTTTCTCTCTTCCCACGTGTCAAAACAATACTAACTATATATCCAATAACTGCCTGGCTATAACAGACAGTATTTTGTTGTTACGCCATGGGTTCAGAACTAAGTCACATTGGCATGAAGGATACCACAAAATATTATAGGAGGAGAAAGGTATGTGTATACAGTAAAGGATATGAAAAAAAATATTATAGAAGGAGAAATGTGAGTATAAGCATATATATGAATACAGCAAAGGACATCACAAAATACTATAAAAGAAGAAAGGTGGGCAAAAGCATGTATTTATTCAGCAGAGGGTGACAGGAATCGGGTATTTAACATGAACAGTATTTATCTTTTAGAACATACATGATGGACATGGAATCCCAGACTTCGGTGTGTCTCTGAAATTTCAGTGGGGGGTAAAAAAAAAAGATTTCAAAGTTTGATAAATGAATGATCAATGTTTAATCGCAATTCTTACTCTTTCTGATTCAAGTATAGGTCAATATTTTGATGACCGTTATTCTGAAAGCTAAACCCTCCTTCAAGTTATGACAATACACAAACCGTGGTCAAATATATGTATGGATACTTAATTTCGTCCCATAACAATGAATTCGGAGGCGACTTTGTTTCCTCCTCGTCTGATTGATTATCAGCCACTCTCTCTTTCTCAGTCTTCACACTTGATTTTTAGCGCTTTTTTCCTGAACTCGTGCAGGATGCGGACATTGAGATTTTTAATATATGATAGTGCCTTGATGAATTTAAGATCAAGATTGTATTTTGCTCCATTTTAATGAATTTTGTCAGAATTGTGGCCTTTTGAAGTTTTAAAGACAACCAGATTACACTTGACCAGTGTATGTACTAAATAAGGGACTGTTAAGCAAAACTGTCCGAGTGCACGCTGAATTAGGTACAGGTCATCGACAATTAACAGTTCATGAGTAGCTAAGTGGTCGAAGTTAATTGACATTTTGTGTTACTTGTCATTGAAATGTCACCCAGATGACTCAGTAATAGTGTTAGTTCGATTTACATGAAGTCAAAGACGGTTAATTTTTTACAAATGTCATTACTATGATTCAGATAATGCGTTTAATTGTTGATTGCGAAATAAGTACAGACCCGCATAGATTTGTACTCCTCTTTATGTCCCAGTTTCCATGTGTATGTAGGTCGGGCATTGGCCTTTGATTATCTGTCTAGGTCACCATCAAATAAAACTATTTAGGGGGTAAAACATAATTTGATGCAAAAATGTGAATGGTCATGTTATTTCACTCTTGAGCTTTTATAGGAATAGTAATCAAACGAAGCATGTGTCTATTCTCCAAATATAAACCGTTTTTATGTTTATATTAACAGGAAGCGTTTATGACAAAGGAGCACCGCCCAGTCCAACCCTCCACAGGTCCCCAGTCCCGGGGGAGCATCTCCACGATGTCCAGGGGCAGCATCAAAAGTGACCCGTTCACGGAGGAAACCAGCAGCATAAGCGCCCGCAGCGACACCAGCGCAGATAGTCTCATATTTGATCCTAACTTTGGTGATTAGTTTTCAAAATCATACAATTGGGCACCCTTTTACATTTCTCAAAATTTTATCAAAACTATACAGAAAAGCGGCCTTCTCTCTAACAAACAGGGCATTTCAAGCTTTTTTTTAATATATTCGATCAATTCATACTATTAATGCAAGATATATTACTGTTTTTAGCGGCAGCTCACACAAATTGGTCCGACCAAAATAGTTCCATCATGATTAAGTAGATACAACATTATTGTTCATGATAAGAGTAAAGTTGTGTATTTCATACGTTAAAGAAATAAAAAATAACGTCAAAATATTATTAGAAAATCACTTTCCCCCCGAAATGCAAATAAAAAATATCAATATTCCTACGCTCGCTCCCTCCTCAGCCTTTTTTTTTTTTTTTTTACATGTTTGATAATAGAGAATATTTAGGTCATTCTTCGATTCATATTTTTTCACCGATGAATTGATAATACTATATCAACAATTGTATTAAGTACATGTTTATAGTCTGTTAATTATCATACAATTTCCTTTTAAGAAAAAAATAATCATTCTGTGTGTGTATATTATTAAATGACGGAATTTTCAATCCCTGGCTGGATTCTGCTCACGTGTGTACACTTTGTAAACAATGTGCTAGCAAAACGAGAACTGGGTCGGACATTCGGGTTCGTGTTGAAGTTCAGCATAGGCCTACCATTTTATATAGAACTTGAATAATGTAAGTAATTTCTGCGACAAATACATTAATTAGTATATTTCAGTAATTTTCAAAACAAAAACGGTTTTCAGTTTAGAATTTTCCGATCTGGTCTTGATTTTCCTAACACGGCCATTTTAAACACAAGTTGTTGCAGATGCAAATGTTAGAACAAACTATATATAGTTCAACAGGGATTGTATAATTTTTATTAATCAGAATTCATATTCATATGATCTAATTAAGAAAAGAAAAGTTTTGTCTGCTATCGTAACTTCTCGGCAAAAAAAACGTGTTTCTCCGAGCTCGCCGGATGCGTTTAACAGCTCCATCGCACGTGTTTAGATCGAGCTAATGTTGGTCTTGCGGACACAGGTTCATGTAGGCCTATGTGTACACATACCGTTTGTTAGGAGACTGGGTGACCTCACGAAATTTACACCAGTTCCGTAACTAGACATGACAGTTTTTTTATTAACGTCATTATAAACACTGATAAGCATATTAAATCTAAAAGTCGAATATCTTTGGATATGGGGTAACCCATATCTATTCTTGTTTATATTTTGAATCGTTTTATTTATTAAGGGTCACTAATGGTAATTAGACCTTAAAGATAATTTAACAACCAAGTTCTATTATAAACGTGTTGACTTTAACTTTTCAATCGTAAAATTTCCTTACTTATACAGCAGTATACCTTCATTACGGGCATACGGAGTTTATATTTCTCAACTGATTCGATACGCAAGAACATGTTCTATGTACCGGTATGTACAATTTCTAAAACTAGGTAAATTATTGACAAATAAGTTGATGACACAAGGATATCAACAGTCTCGTTAAAATGCATCATTTTTTAAGCTATGGTCGATACAATGACCTTGTCAGCAAATACAATTTATCATTGAGTCAAATGCTGACTAACGTTTTTCATACTTATTGTTACACTGAATTGACGATGGATTTTTCCGTTATTTACCGTACATGACAAGGAGCACTCGGCGGGTGTAACCGGTCGGCAGGGGACGCTCACTCCTCTATGGCACATGATCCCACCTCTGATGTTTTGGAAGTCTGTTTTTGCTCTACTTCTATTATGTATTGTTTTATGGACTATAGAGTTTGAATACTGTTCCTGATATCCATATATTTCAATAAAATAATATCAAATAATAATATAATAATAATATGAAATAATATCAATTCCCTGTTCTCTCATGCAATAGAAAAAAGAATGTAAGCTATAATTTGATGTCAGTAGCACTTAATCAAGTGTCGAATTTACAAAAAAAAATGAAAGATAAGAATACTACATTTATTATAATAAATAGATCCTGACAATAAAAAGTTAAATTTATCTCAGCAGTCTTGTGAATGAATATCACTGGAATATGAGGATTTTGTTTTCAGTAGAAAGCGATGTGTTATTTATAATATAATACCCATCATCTCTGTGTGACATTTATCAACGATAATGATTTTCAATAAACGGAAGAATGTATCAAAAATGAAATTTACATAAAATTGCTTTGAAAAAATTGTTTAACATTCAGGAACTTTTCATTTGAGAGGGCTTACATAGCCAATATACCTGCTGCCCAATCCATTTATTTTTCGTTTGATAAGAAAATCAAATCCACCTTTCTGCAGGTGCTATAAGACCGGATCTTTATCCCCGGAAGGACGCAGTTCTCCAGCAGTCCTCTGTGGAGCAGGGCCGGGGGAAACTTCATATCCGAATCAAATACGATTTCCGGACCTCAGATGTCCTCGTTCATCTTATTGAAGGTGAGACGACCGACTTAACTGAATCGGTGCGCAGAATACATATCGTAAATTAACATGAATACACTTGAACTTTGGTGTGCTCTACTTATAAAAACTTATTAAAAGTTAAACGGATACTTATATTGCCATGAAGTTTTTCCTTTTTATTAAATCTGGAATGACACATATAGCAAAATGACGTACACGTGGAATAAAAACTCAGTAATAATTGTTTAATAACTGTCAATCATTCAATTTATGGCAATATCAAATGATTTTTTTCTTATCAAAAGAATTACTCTGTTTACTTCCAAATAGTGTCATTACGGTAAACATTATGTTCATCATTTCCGACTGGCATCATTTCCGACTGGATTATAAACATCCATCGAACTCAAATAACAGGACCATCTGCTCGATAGAGATTTTTTAAAAACTAAATTTGGATTTTTTTTTCAGCTCAAGATCTTGTGGTGGACAGATCGCTCGATCAAGAAGGAGGATTTGGCGATCCTTACATCCGGATTAGTATGGTTCCGGAAGTCGACGAGAAAATACGACAATCATCCGTCAAACGCCGGACCCACAATCCGTTTTATAATGAATTCTTTAAGTTCCCGGTGACACTTGATGAAGTGAAAGAGCGGACATTGATTTTCCAGGTCTTTGACTTTGATAAATTTTCCCGCCATAAAACACTAGGAGAAGTTAGTGTCAATTTGGGTCAAGTTGACGTTACAAACAGCGTAGAAATGTGGTGCGACATTCAAAAGCAAAGTCAGGTACTTCAATAATTATAAATATCATACATAATTCAGACTTTTTGAATTCTAACGTATTTTTGCTTAGTTTTAATTTATTTTCATAACATACTTCGTAGAAATATAAGTCATGACATATTAATCATTATTTTTTTTTGTTTTTCTTTTGTCTGTTTTCTTTTGTTTTTACATTGAAATGTGTAAAAACGTATGTCTGAGCTGAGCTCAACAGGTGGAGGTATTTGACAGACTCTTTTGACACGTGATATGAAATGCTGTTTTATTTTTACAGCACAATGACATGGGTGAAATTTTATTATCCCTGAGTTATCTCCCCACGGCAGAGAGACTTACGGTAGTCGTGTTAAAAGCTACAGAGCTGGTGATGACCGCGGCGGGCGGATCCTGTGGTACGTTATATAAAAATAACTCATACATTCTAAATTATTTCTTAATCTAAGATTTAGTCGTCAACACTTTGTCTTCATTAATCACAACTTTCATTAATACGTGAGTAATGTTGGCAGAGGATGCTCACTCCTCAATGGTACCTGATCTGACCTCAGATGTTGTAGCGGTCCGTGTTTTTTCTGCTCCTATTTTGTATTGTTTAATGAACTTCTGAGCTCGAATAATGTTCTTTATCTCAATATACTCAGTATTTAATTAATTCTGTTCATCTATAATGTCTTAGAGAAGGAAAAACATGCTATTTAACGTTTGAAATATTTTAGTGGTGAATATGTGAAGAACAATTTAACACCCTCTAAATTAAATAACTTTTCCTTTTCAGACCCGTACGTTCGGGTGTCACTCGTCGTGGACGGCAAAAAAGTCAAAAGAAAGAAAACTTCTGTCAAAAGAAGCACAACAGCTCCTGTCTGGAACGAGGCTCTGACCTTTAACATTTCAGCAGACATGTTGGCAAAGTGTAACCTTGAGGTCACGGTGCTTGACCATGACCTGATAGGTCACGGTGAATTTGTTGGACGGTGTATTATAGGACCAAACAGACCGGAAGCGGAAGGTAAACATTGGAATGACATGCTAAATAACCACCGGAAGTCCATGGCGATGTGGCAACACCTTTACAGACGATAATTTTTTTGTTTTCCACCCTTTATCATAATTTTGTTTTTTTATCTCATTCATAAAAAGAAAAGTGCTTTATGAAGAGTGATTTCATATCCCATCTTGCGAAAGATTTTTTAAATATTAAAGTGATGTTTGTGTCATAGTGTGTGCCAGTACTTGCCTTCTATCCATTGTGATACTGAATGTAACCCTGTTATTTATCGACCTGACGTATCGTTCACCGGTTATTACTGTGGACGTATCAGTGGTCCCTCACCATTCGCTTCTTGTAGTACACGTGTTTTCTGTATTGTTAAAACAAAATGAAAGTATATATTATCTGTACATGTTGAGAATGGCAAAAATATATAATTATAATTTTATTTTTATGAAAAGTTCATGTATCATGAATAAAGAAAATCAAATCCACGACTTTCTTTCTTCTATATCCATTAATATGCTGAGTTTGCCATAGATTAGCTGTAGATTTGTCGAGGAATCGATAACGTAATTTTTTTATATGGCGACCTGGTCCTAGTGAGATATTAAAAACAGAGACTGTTCCTTGAAGTCGCCATTGTTTCCACACCACCGGCTGAAGAAACATTTTAATGGAATGCAAATGAGTTTCAATTCATATCAGATATATGGTTCGTGGTAAGGGGAAAATAAAGTTTTAAAATGCTCTCAACAGATACTTACTTTTACTTCAGTTGAGAGTCGGTTCTGGTTCAGTTTATTCGCTCAAGTAAAGATATTTAAGGAATGTTTTGCGTGAGTTATTGGTGTGTAAATCACAGGAGAAACAATCCCATACATTTCAGCATTTTCCCGAAACTTTTGCATAAGAATCATAATTGTCGAGGCAATATTTTTGTTTAAGGATTTAGGAAGAAAGTAGTGTGTTCCAATGATGTAAAATTGTTTCTTGCAATTGACCACTGAATAAATAGATGATACAAACACTTAACCGCTTAAAGAGTTTTAGAATGAAGCAATATTGTCCATATCGATTTGATCGTTTTGTTCATGTGGAAATTAGGTTGTGACTCTCTATATAAATTGATACTTCATGTAATGACTTTCTCTATATATGTACTTTCCATTACGAGTACCTCCTTCCAAATTGACAAAGTTTTTATCTCTCCATGGATTATTACACAGGGAGTTTACGAGGAAAAAATACGTTAAATAGATCAAATAACCAGCTTACTGTCTGTTTTATGATAAATCTATAATAACAGTCTTTTTATACTTTTTGAATTATTGGGCGAGGAATCTTCATGTCATTGACGTTCGTATGTGAAATTTAATATAAAAAGTTTTACTTGGACACATAGATTTAAAAATTCTACTGATAAGTACGAGTCTGTCACGTATATTTTATATTTGGATACTTTTCTGGTGATAATGCCCATCTAAACTGTATGAAAAACGAGATAATTTCTAACGTCATCTTCCCCTATTTTAGGTAGTTATATATCCTATATTACCTGTATATGGTGTTTACTTTTCACAGCTTACTTCATATACTCAACTAAAGAGTACTCCGAGCGTTCAGTTCTGAAACGGGACAGGCAACTGACACAGGTCTACGTCGATGTTACAGTGATTTCAATAACCTAGTTTTACGTCAGTATCTCGTAAGTTGTATAGTAGATAAAGAATCTTGATAGTAAATATTACCTATCATTGTTGTATTTTGGCTGTCACTTTCATACCAATTGATTTTCACGTATAAGATTTTGGTCAAATTCTCCTTCAAATGAATACAAAACTGTATCTGCAAATAATTGAAAATTACCTTTTATTTGCAAGAAATTTCTCCCCTATTTTCGTATACAATGTATTATTTAAAAAGACTAAATGGAACAATTACCAGAATGCGTGAAAAGTTTATCTCGCTTTTAATTTCAATACAACAATCTCGCAAAAAATAAGGCATTGGAAAATTTTGCTGAATTTTATTTGTTGCTACTTTTACCTTATCGTTTATATGCAGTAAACTGTACGGTGTTCCCTTTTCATTTAGAGTACCCTTGGATATATCGAGGTTACATAAATTAATTGATGAAACATATGGAGATAACGAATAGTATTCAAGATCAAAAGTCCATAAAACAATACAAAATAGGAGCAGAGCCCAAACGGACCTTCAACACATCAGAGATGGGATCAGGTGTCATAGAGGAGTGAGCATCCCCTGCTGACCGGCCACACCAGCCGTGAGCTCCTTGTCATGATCGGAAAATAACGGGAAAAACGTCGTCAATTTAGTGTATAAATAATGGATTAACAATTAGTATGAAAAATGTCGTTAAAATTTCTCTCAAAGATAAATTGTATTTGCTGAGAAGGTCATTGTATTGACCATAGAACTTACTAAATGATGACTTTAACCGAGACTGCTGATATCCTTGTTTCATCAACATAATTGTCAATTACTTAGTATTTACCTCCTTTTAGAAATTGTTCATACGTAGAGAATGCTCTTACGTATCGAATCAACTGAGATATATAAACTCTATATGCAGGTGATGAAAGTATGTGACTGCATAAATAAGGGAAGTTGACAATAGAAAAGTTAAAAGTCATCACGTATTTCACAGAGCCGGGTTGTTAGATCACCATTAACATCTTTTTCAAGTAAAATATCCAAATATAAAACAGATGTGTCAGACTCTGTGGTATCTTTTATCTCAAGCTCACCAAGATATATATCGTACCCGTACGAAATTTAAGTCACGTATTTTTAAAAAAAAATCCAGGCGTATTTTAATCTAAAAATCCTTGTGGAAATCTCTATTGAAATGAATATATAAAACCAGGCGTATAATGTAAAATACAGGCGTACACGAGACGTAATCCTCCCGTATTTTTGGCCGAAATATGCAAATGAGTACGCCTGGAAATTCAAAATACGTTGGAAATTTTAAAAATAGAATTACGCCTAGATTTCAAGCATACCCTTAAGAATACGCCTGCAAAATAAATACGCCCGTATAAAAGAATACGCCCGTACAAAAAAATACGCCTGTGCAAAAAATACGCCTGCTTTAAATAGATTTGAATTAAATATTAATTATATTACAGCAATGGGAGCTACAACTATAGCATGAATATAAATGTACAATCAACTTAAGTACAAAGATTTTTGACTACATATGCAAAAAAAGATTAGACAAATTAAGTTAAGCATACATCACTTTTATTTTCTTAATATTTTTCAGTGTGATAAAATGTGAATGAGATTCATTAGTAAAGGATTGTCATTAAAATTTAAAAGATCATAATCTTACATTTACTTTTTCAAAGCACAGTTACATTGTTAGAATATATTAACCGTTTCACAGCATTTTAACATCCAAGGCTGAGTTTTATAGTAAACAGTTGAAACATTCCAATAATCACAGTGAATATTCAGTTTTGAGAATCATGCCGAGTACTCCTGCCATTCTTTTTACTCCTAAATTGGCATAAAAGATGCAAATCACGAGCAATTCTGTCATTCACGTTTCACATCACATTTCCCAATCACATTTTCATAGATTGAAATATTCACAAAAAGAAGTTTGAATGCTTTATAACTGGCATTGCAAACGGTCATCTTCTTCCTGATGCAATCTTCCAATGGCTACAGTTCACTGGCATTATTGCATTTATGGAAAGCTATGCTGCTGGTCAACTCTAAATATTGCAAGATCTTTTCTCCTCCTCTTATGACCATTTCATCATTCAATCAATTTTCCAACTGTGATAAGGATTTAGATGTAAATCATTTTCTGGAAAAAGAATAATTTATGTAATTCAAAATACTACTGACCCAATTTTCAATCATTAACATCTGGCTCTGCAAATCAAAAGCAAATGCAGCTGTCTTTTATTTTCATAGATAAAAAGTTTCAATGTTAAGCTATGTTTTCAAAATATTTACCTCTTCTACACCATCTGTGCTTTGTTGTGGCTTTCTCTAATCTCATTGTTCTTGGCATGACCTGCCTGGTGGTTTAAAATTGGCGCAAATACTTGGATGCAGATGCTGTTGTTTACAACCCCCTAGTTAGCTAAACTCTTTTATGATTTCTGGAAGTTCTACTCAGTACAATTTGTAATTTTGAAGAAAAATGCTGTATAGTTTACAGCTAGAACATAAAAATAAAATTCCATCAATGTATAAACAAGGTGTATTCATTATGAATTAAAAAGATACTAGGGTGGGAAATAGAACTGCTGTACACAAACCGGATATAAATTGATAAGCCGTTCTTAGGTTTACAACATCACAGATAAGTCGTTCCTAATCATGCTCAACACATCTGTAAGTAATTAGCACAATCCCAGCAGGTTAGGCTAGGGAAGTGAAAGTTGATGGTACTTTATGTAACAGAGTATCTAAATATACCAAATATAAATCATTTTATAAGAAAAACATTTAATTGTAATAACATGTATGTTTATAGCCTGACTAAACAATTAATCATGAAGTTCAAAGAATATTCTATCTACTTTACAGTTATAGAAATCATTTGTGTTAGGAAAAATAATATCAATTTTTTTTAAAAAATGGGAATGACAAAATTTTAGGTCCATGGGATAATGTTCTTAAAAAAAAGTTCTAAAAGAAAAAATCAGTTTAATTTATGAAAAATAACTGCTTTGATATTTAATGCAACAAACTAAATGCAATATTGTAATGTATACAATCATGCAATACTTTGTTTGTTTGTTTTTTTTTTGTTTAAGTTATGTAATATAATAAAAATGTTTCTTATGCAACTCAATACTTTAAAAAAAAGAGAATGAGTTGACTAAGTTTTTTTGGCTAAGTTGAAAAATCCACCCGAATTTTAAAAAATACGCCTTTTGAAATTTTCTAAGTTTTAATTTCCTTGTGCCAAAGAGACTAAGTAGAAAATACGCCCGGATTTAGAATTTACGCCTGGAAAAAAGGAGACGTATTTCTGGCAAAAATACGTGTACGCCTGAAAATGAACCGTATTTTTAAGAATACGTCTCTTGTACGCCAGGATTTGCAAAAAATCCAGGTGTAATACGTCTCTGAATTTCGTACGGGTATCGGCATAAAATATATCGATATATCTTAGAATCAAATAGAAGGCTATATTAGGTGTTTTTCTTCTTTACATTTAGATTTTTTTTAATAATTTTTTTTTAAAATATCAAAGATCATATATTTTGATGTTACTCAGAATTGAGAAATTATCTATTTTAATTTTCCCAAATTACTAGTAAGTATATATGCAACTTCTTTTGAGTTTAAACAATCGAATCTATTTATACTTCATTCCTCTTCTGAAATATGCTTTGATTAAGTCTTTTTTAAGTTTTCCTATTTCAGCAATAAATGTTATGGGAAATCTCGTCAAATCCAGCAAATGAACTTAAAAAT